AGAAAGGGGCAGCTTTCAGAGAAGTTTGAGGGACTTTGCTGGCACTGTAATAAACCTGGGCACAAGAAAGCTCAATGTAGGAAACTTCAACACAGGGGAGATGATACAGCAGTAAAGGATGGTATCCAGAAAGGTTGTTGGAACTGTGGAGAGCAAGTACATATGAGGAGCCAGTATAAGAAGAATACCACAAATAAGTCAGCCTTGGGGAAACCAGTAGTGGTTGGTGCTGAGGAACACCCTCCAACCCCCATCGTGAAAGTCCCAACACCTAAGTGTAAAATAGCAAGCACACATAGTGTCTATGTGACAGGAAAGTTGGATGTCCAAAGGTGCAACTTTGTCACAGATTCTGCATCTCAGCAAACCCTTGTAAGTATCAAAATGCTGAATAACAAAGGAAGCTGTACAGAAGCTCTGTGGTGTGACAGGACATTATGCAAGGTTGTGGGGACCAGTGTAGATAACTACTGAGCTCGTGGGCATGAAGAACAGACAGAAAGTATACTTGGCTGACATTGAAGACCAATACATATTAGGCTTGGACTACTTACTACTGAAGAAGTTTGTAATTAATTTTGATAAAATGACGTTTAGGAACAACAAAGGCCAAATTCCGGTAACTGTTAAAAGAGAGGTTGAGCTAACCAGGTGTCATCAAGCTGAAGTCAAAGTGACTAAAGGAGTTGATGATGGTGAAATGGAACCAGGTATAGATATTAAATCAGAACAGGAGAAAGACCAAGATTTGAAGCCAATAATTGATTTTCAAAAAGCAAGTGTTTTTCACTCTGCTTGAGAGAAGGTGTCTAGTCTAAGCCCTGTGACAAAGAACTATTGGGCACAATGGGACCAGTTGAAGCTTGGAGATGGGAAACTGCAGATGGAAAAGTGACAAGTTGGGAAACAGTTATACCGAGAATGTTACGGGAAGTTGTGCTGCGTCAATCCCATGATAGTTTAATAGGAGGACATCGGAGTTAAGAAAACATTGAGTCACATACGACAGAGATTTTACTAGATAGGTATAAGGCAAGATGTGGAAGAATGGTGCAGGACAAGCAATACATGTTGTGCTAAAAGGGGACCCAAGGATAAGGGACATGCTCCAATGAAGTTATATCAAGTTGATGCACCAATGAAAAGAGTAGCCGTTGACGTTGCTGGTCCTCTGCCCCAAACTCGTGCTGGAAACAAGTACATTTGTGTGGTGGTGGATTATTTCACCAAGTGACTTGAGGCATATGCAATACCAAATCAGGAATCTACAACTGTAGCTTCAGCTATTAGTGATTTCTTCTTCAGATTTGGTATGCCATACAAACTGCATTCAGATCAAGACCGTAACTTTGAATCAGCTGTGTTCCAAGAATGCTGCAAGTTGTTTGACATCCGAAAGACCAGGACAACGCCACTTCACCCACAAACCGGTGGGATGGTAGAAAAGTACAATTGGACACTGGGACATGAATTGGCAAAGTTTTGTAATAGTCGCCAAGATGACTGGGATGTCTTACTCCCTCCACTGTTGATGGACTGTAGGACAGCAGAGCATGAAGCCACTGGATACACTCCAGCAAAGTTGATGTTTGGTTAGTAACTTCGGTTGCCAGTGGATCTGTTTACATGACGCCCATCTTATGAAGAGTTGTCTGAAAATGTGTCAGAGTTTGTGAAAGTGTTATTTGAAAAGATAGATGATATTCACCATAAAGTGCGTTCAAACTTGAAAACGTCTGCTGATTTGATGAAGTTATCTTATGATAAGAGATCTACTGAAGTCAGCTTTATACCAGGAGACAAGGTGTGGTTGCATAATCCAAGGAAGACCAAAGGGAAGTCTCCTAAGTTATCATCTCCATGGGTAGTCCCATATGACCTAGTGGATGGTCTCTCAGACATGACTTTCTGGATAAAATGTGGTCGGCAAGGTAAGCTAAAGGTGGTGCATGCCAACAAGCTTTAGCGTTATCATGGTCCAGGACATTTCAATTGGAACGAAATAAAGAATAAAACATATGATGCTGCTGAAGACATGTCACCTGAAAAAGCCACTGTCAAAGAAGAAACTCTACCCGGTTTTGAGAAGGGAAACAGGGAAGCCCTTGATGAAGTTACTACCACTGATGTGACTGTTACCGATAATAAGACGTTTCCTGATGAAGCAGATGAACCCCACATGAAGCAGAAGCCAACGATACGGAGACCAGTATGGTAGAAGATACATCCCGTAAAATTAAGAGACTTTGTTGAATTTTAATTTTGTGTTTGTAAATTCTGTACATTTAATTAAGTTGTTGTTAATTGTTTATTGGTTTAATGTAAGTGACTATTGTTTGGGATGAACAATACTAAGGAAGGAGCAGTGTTACGACAGCGGAAGTCACGTGACGCTAGTAACACGTCATGAGCTTCTATAAAATTCATGTCCCTTCATGAAGCCTCGATTGTTTACTAGATGTGTGGTATTTTTGTATATAAGACCGCCAAGAAGTGACAGCAACAATGTAATTGAATAGCAGACAGAGATAGCGACAGACAATTGAGTCAAGCACGTGAGTCATTCATTGTGAAGTATAGCGTTTGTTTAAGTTATAGCATGACCATGGAAATTAAGTCTATTGCAAAGTTGTATTGAGAAAGAATAAACTAGTTTTATTTAAGAAAGAACTTGTGTCGCTAAAGTTTCATCAGAAAGAAATTTTATAGGAAATTAACTAACGACCAGAGACGTAACAATATTTTAATGGTTTGTGTTCATTTATTGTTTTATGATTCTACCTGTTACATCCATTACAATCAGGATGAACTAATTTTTTCATATTTTAACAATTTGGGTTCATTTATTGTTCTATGATTATACCTGTAACATCCATTATAAACAGGATAAACTATTTTGTTCATATTTTAATGGTTTATGTTGATTTATTGTTTTAAGATTCCACCTGTGACATCTATTACAAACAGGATGAACTATTTTGATTATATTTTAACAATTTGTGTTGATTTATTGTTTTAAGATTCTACCTGTGACATCCATTACAAAAAGGATGAACTATTTTGATCATATTTTAACAGTTTGTGTGGATTTATTGTTCTAAGATTCTAGCTGTGACATCCATTACAAAGAGGGTGAACTATTTTGTTCATATTTTAACAGTTTGTGTGGATTTATTGTTTTATGATTCTACATGTGACATCCATTATAAACAGGATGAACTATTTTGTTGATATTTTAACAATTTGTGTTCATTTGTTGTTTTATAATTCTACATGTGACATCCATTACAAACAGGATGAACTATTTTGTTCATATTTTATTGGATTGTGTTCATTTATTGTTTTATGATTCTACCTGTGACATCCAGTACAAACAGAATGAATTATTTTGTTGATATTTTAACAGTTTGTGTGGATTTATTGTTCTAAGATTCTAGCTGTGACATCCATTACAAAGAGGATGAACTATTTTGTTCATATTTTAACAGTTTGTGTTTATTTATTGTTTTATGATTCTACATGTGACATCTATTACAAACAGGATGAACTATTTTGTTCATATTTTAATGGTTTGTGTTCATTTATTGTTTTATGATTCTACCTGTGACATCCATTACAAACAGGATGAACTATTTTGTTCATATTTTAACAGTTTGTGTGGATTTATTGATTTAAGATTCTACCTGTGACATCCATTACAAACAGGATGAACTATTTTGTTCATATTTTAAAAATTTGTGTTGATTTATTGTTTTAAGATTCTAGCAGTGACATCCATTACAAACAGGATGAACTATTTTGTGGATATTTTAATGGTTTGTGTTGATTTATTGTTTTAAGTTTCCACCTGTGACATCCATTACAAAGAGGATGAACTATTTTGTTCATATTTTAATGTTTTGTGTTGATTTATTGTTTTTAGATTCTTCCTGTGACATCCATTACAAACAGGATTTACTATTTTGTTCATATTTTAACAATTTGTGTTGATTTTTTGTTTTAAGATTCTACCTGTGACATCCATTACATAGAGGATGAACTTTTTAATTGTATTTTAATGTTTTGTGTTGATTTTTTGTTTTTAGATTCTTCCTGTGACATCCATTACAAACAGGATTTACTATTTTGTTCATATTTTAACAATTTGTGTTGATTTTTTGTTTTAAGATTCTACCTGTGACATCCATTACATAGAGGATGAACTTTTTCATTGTATTTTAAGTTTGTATTGATTTATTGTTCTAAGACTACATGTTACATGCATGATATTCATTACAAACATATTAATCCTTGCCTTCATATAGTTCAGGAGTGTACATTCTTCTGTGCTTTAGCAGTTATTTTAAAGGACATCGAACTAGCCAGCCTTATTAAATCTGACCAACAATCACTTTGTGAGAATGAAAATCTTGTTTCATTCACTTATACGTGCATGTATTCCTTGCTGTCAATTTTCAGTTTATTTTCTGTTAACACATCTGGAACCAGATTTTTTCTAACTTATCTCTTCTAAGTTGGTCTGTTTCGCCATCAGATGTGTACAGATGATTGATATGGATGCAAATTTTTTCTAAACAAATCGTCATACGATGTCCAAATAATACCTCTACCAGTATCGTCATACATGTCCAAGTAATACCTCTATCAGTGTCATCATACAATGTCCGTGTAATACCTCTATCAGTGTCATCATACAATGTCCAAGTAATACCTTTATCAGTAGTACAACAAAAACTTGTTACTTTTAGAAAAACAAGAGCATGTTACATATATATAATTTAGTATGTATGTATTGAGTGAATAATTGCTTTTACATATATATTGTGAAAAGTTTTTAACAACATAATCTTGTTTTATATGAAATATAAAAATACTACAATGTTTTTTTGCTTCCTAGTAGTCTTGATGGGGAGAGTTCTCTAGCTTTCCGTCAAGATGATCCAGGATTGAATCCAGTAAACTATCAACACAGAAAGTGGTCTTCTTTAAACAACAGATTAGTAATCAAAACATAGGATAAAAACTAGTTAGTAATTAGTACCTAATTATAAAAAGTTATTAATTAATAATTAGGCTTAGGTGATTGTATACGCTACTAATGATAAGTATTATATTATACATTAAGGAACTGTAAAAAACATTGTTAATTTTACAGGTCTGGACTATTGGAGAATATGTCAGTCAGACGTACAGTGGGCTGTGTAAGCCTGAAATAATAACAACTTACTATGAAGGGCTGGAGTACGTACCTTATGAGTTGGTTGGATCCCATGAGCTGTCTGTTTCACATTTCAGGTTAATGAATATTACTGTGACAACTCTTGCAAAGGTGAGAAATAAATTTTGGAACTCACCATCATAGAAACTTATGAATGTTTGGGTTAATTTCGAATTTATAATTCATTTATTACTTATCATAATCAAATTCATAAAAACTACAGTTATCCAGTTATGAGTAAAAATGTGTATTGTTACAACAGTGGAAGTCATGCGACACTGAGAGCATTCACACTGGAGTTTCTAGAAGGATCATGACTTAGGGAAGAACTCCACGAATATCCGAGTGTTTGCCAGGTGCCCTCTTTTTTTAGCATATAAGCCTGGCAAAGAAAGCCAGCGATAGATAGATATGCAGATAGATTGAAGATATAGATAATTGAGTCAAGCAAACAGTAGGCACCGTAAGTAAAGTGTGTGAACCACTGTGATTGATAGCGTATGTTATAAAGGTTGTTAAGTTTAAAGGACTGTGGAAATTCTGTGTAATACAAAGTTATATCGAGAATGAATAAACTAGTTTTAATTAAGAAAGGACTTGTATCGCTGAAGTTCTTCGGAAAGAATTTATACTGGAAATTATCAAACGATCAGATAAATGACAAATTGGTGTCAGAGGGTGGGAGGGAAAAGAAAAAAAAGATGGAAAACGAGAAGTGGTAAATCAAACTAAAGCTTAGCAGATTTGATGGCAGCAATACAAGAACAGCAAAAGAAACAAGAAGAACAAGAAAAGAAACAAGAAGAGAGATTACAGCAGTTGTTGGAGGAGAAAGAAAATAAACAAGAAGAAAGTCTCCAACAGTTGAGAGAAAGCCAGTATACACAAATGGAAAAGATTAGTAAATTTCAAAGTGAATTAAATACATTAAAGGACGATTTACTGTTATTAACAAAGGAAGGATATATTAATCATGGACCTAATCAGCCCCAAACAACAGGAAGCCCCTTCCAGACCCCCGCAGCTAAACACTAATGCAGACATCTTCAGTCCTGCCAGAAGTTACATTCCAGACACGAGTGTCAGCAATAAGGGTGATCTAGTATGAAGGAAGCCACAGGAATTCGATGGGAAGGCACCATTGGAAGCATATAGAGCACAGTTTGAGCTCCTGGCAGAAATGAATGGATGGACATAAGAGCAAAAAGCAGTGTACCTGGCAATGAGCTTGAAGGGACAACCACTTGAAATACTTGGACAGTTGTCAGCAGACGACAGGCACAACTATAGAGCACTGGTAGATGCTCTAGAACTCAGGTATGGAACTCAAAATCAGTTCCAAGTCTACAGGGCTAGGTTTAGGATGAGAGTAAGTGCTAAAGAGATGGCCTACCCAACTGCTCCACCTGATGTCCTCAAGCTGTTGCTGAGAGATCAGTTTGTAGATGCCTTTAACAGTCCACAACTAAAGATACAAGTGAAGCAAGCATACCCCTCTACTATGCAGGATGCAATGGCCAGAGCTCTTGAATTTGAATCCTATGTTAAGTCCAGCACAGAGGTACCAAGGTTGGTATAGTCATCAGGGTTCAAGGCCAGAATAGGTCAGCTTTGAGAGAGGTTTGAGGGACTTTGCTGGCACTGTAACAAACCTGGGCACAAGAGAGCTCAATGCCAGCAACTTCAATACAGTGAAGATGCCATGGCAGGAAAGGCTGCAACCCAGAAAGGTTATTGGAACTGTGCACAGCAAGGACATATGAGGAGCCAGTATAAGAAGAATGCTGCCAATAAGTCAGCCTTGGGGAAACCAGTAGCGGTTGATGTTGAGGGATGCCTATTAACACCCATCGTGAAAGTCCCAACAGCTAAGTGTAAAATGGCAAGTACACGTAGTGTCTGAGTGACAGGAAAGCTGAATCGCCAAAAGTGCAACTTTGTTATAGATTCTGTATCTCATCAAACCCTTGTGAGTATCAAGGTGCTAAATCACAAAGCACTACCAGAAGCCATACAGAAGCTTTGTGGTGTGACAGGACATTATGAAAGGTTGTGGGAACCAGTGTGGGTAACTATTGAGCTCATTGGTATGAAGGACAAACACAAAGTATGCAATGCTGACATTGAAGACCAATTCATACTAGGGTTGGACTACTTACTTCCGAGGAAGTGTGTAGTTAATTTTGTTAAAATGACTGTTGGAAACAACAAAGGCCAAATTCCGGTAAATGTTGCTGCTTCTGTTGATTTGCATGTCACAGTACTTAAGTCAACTACAATACCCCTTAAGATAATTTGGGGTAAAATAAAAGAACATCCCCTAGGAAGACCGATGCTTGTGGAAGCAGTGGAAGACCCATCCATGACAGCATACATGAAGATTGGAAAGTCACTTGTGACAGATCATCAAGTAGTACCCATAACAGTGGCTAATTTCTCTAAATGTGAACAGACACTTAAGGAAGGGGCATTGTTGGTTGTGGGCAAGGAGGTAGAGCCACTCAATGTTAAGGCAAGAAATACAACCATAAAGAAAGGACATCCTCTTTCAGAACATATAACTGACTTCTTTAAGAAAAGCATAGTCCATTTGTCATCATCACAAACTCTCCAGGTTACGAAACTTTTGGCAGACGTCTTTTCAAAGGAGATCATTACCTCAGCTGCACAGACCTTATGAAGCACAGAATAAACACAGGCAATCACCATCCAATAAAGATCCCTCTGGGGAGAATAGCTCCAGCAAAGCAGCAAGATATGGAGAAGGTCATGGATGGCCTAATTAAAGAAGTGATAGTCGAGAAATCAGTTAGTCCCTGGTCAGCTCCCATCGTGTTAGTCCAGAAGAATGATAGGACCCAATGTTGCTGTGTGGACTTCCGGGCTCTCAACAGTATAACTGAAAAGGACTCGTA